TTTGTTGTTGTTGTTGTTATTAGAAAATTAAAACTATTTTTTGCGTCTCAATTTCTTCTTTTTCTTTGCAAAGAACAGCAATGTTTTGCATTTTCAAGTTTTTTTTTGTAACATTGAAAACCAACAAAAATTTCTTTTTTTGCTCTTAAAGTATGAAATGATGTTGATATACGATAACGGTGACGATTGACTACATAAGGGGAATGACAGAAGGAAAAAAAAAACCCGAAAAATGATTCTGTTATTCAGTTTTTTCTTTCTTGAGCAGTCACGTTGTCTGCATTTGCTAAATGCAGACAACAAAAAAAAAAACAACACATTTTTTTTTGTTGTAATTTTAAAATTATTTTGATAGTTATTTGAACTTTTTTTTTCCTGCTCCCATTGTTTCTTTCTTTTTTTACTATCGTTTACGGTTGACTTCTGCCATAAACCTTACCCAAAGATTAACGCACAAGTTGTTGAAGCAACCACAGCACCATTTTTTGCCTCAAATTTGCTTGGTCTTTACGCTGTTGAGTTTATTCAGTTAGCCGTTAGTCGCCCAGTCTATTCAAATATGCTGAGGGAAAACTTTAAACCAAATATGGGCAGTGTGCTGCTTCGTTGTTTTTTCTCATTTTCATGACAAGCCTTTAAACTCTAGTATTCCTTATTTTGGCTGTTTTCATTGTCCATCTGCTCTGATGCTTAATAACATGTGTAGATAGGAGAGGAGAATAAAAATAGAGTAGTAAAGCGAAAAAAAAGAAAGAAAGAAATAGACTAGAAATTTACAAGTTCAAAACAAAGCAACTACAGCATACAGAATACACCTTTTCCTATCTGTGTTCAACTGAGAATCTTCTCCAGTAGACGTGTGATTCAATGAATTTTGTGTCATTGTCATGATAAAAAAGAAACGCCCTTTGACTTTTAATTCACTGAAAAAAAAACAGTCAAAGAAACATCAATAGCAGCAGTTAAGAAAAGTACAACAACAAAAAAAAAAATCGTTATGTTGTCGAAAATAAGAACAGTTGTATAATAAATGTGATTTGAAAATCCAGTAACAGTACCCTGAAAAAGTGTAATAAAAAACATTAAATTTGTTAAAAACTTGAACAAAAAAAATTAATTCAAATGACGAATTAGTGATTTCATTTTAGCATCGCATTTATCAGAACGAAAAACTGAATGTTATTTGGCTGTTGCAGTAGGCCGTTAAACGTATCCTAAACAATGAGTGCAAATATTTTCAGCAACATTTCATACATTGACAATATACTAAGCAACAGAAAAATTTAACACCAGCAAATATCCGTAAACAATTTTTGATCAGAATTATCAACGACAAACTAAACAAGAAAAAAAAAAGCAGAACAAAGAAAATTTAGAGAAGTTTTTATTTGATATTACACAACTATGTGAACATTATAAATAAAGGCGTCAATTAAAAGCAAAACACCTTTGATTACTCTTGCTAAATTCACCATTACTAAAACCATCAAAAAACTTTTGCTTTCTTGTCTTTATTGTATTGCTTTAGCGTAAAAAGTTATTTCACGAATAGTGATAAATACTGAAAACTTTTAGGCCGTCTAGTAAAGGTCATTTGTTGCTTCTTTTAGTTGTTTCGTTAATCAGAAATTTCACTTAGCGGCTATTTGTTCGTCAATCTTTCAGACTATGAAATCTGCTTTTGTTCAAAAACTTTAAGCTGTTCAGCGTTTATATCAAACACAGCTTTTGCGATTTTCTTTTATCTAGAAACCGAAAAGTTCCAGCAAAATACTTTGTCTGAGAGACAGCTGAATTATCGGCGGCAGTATATTCAGCTGGAGAAACGGTTTTAAATTAAAACTTGGTCATGGTTTCATTGTTTTGCTAAATTCTATTCATCGAACAACAACTGTACTTGTTTTCTGTTGCTTTATCCGCTGTACGTTTTATAGCAGTATTATTGTAGATCACAGAATTTTTTATGTCATGTATTGTATATATCACAAACAAATTGTAAACATAATAACATCTAAAGCAACAAGCTTTCAACACTGAATATAAATCAAAAAAGAAAAAAAAACGAAAAAAATAAAGAGTACAAAGGTAGAAAAACAGATAAACATTAAACAAGTAGAAAAAAAAATAAGAACAACTTACAAATGAATAAAATATCACGGAATGATCATCACATATTGGTCATACATTTGAGCGACATTTAGAAACCAAAAAAATTGCAGTGATTGAAAGAACAAAAAGCAGAAGGAAACACCAGTAGAAATACTGCAATAAAAAACCAATCAAAGTATAATTAATAATGAAAAAACAAGAAATAAAAAACAGAATTCAGACAACAAAAAAGCAAAAAGAAGAAAAAACTATTACCAAAAATTTGTTTATTCTTCTTTCAATGGTTTTTTTCATTGTCTCCATCAATGTTAAAGCAACAATCACTTAACCATCTATTCGAATAATGATTGATAACAACAACACTAATAATTTGTTTTTCCTGTCTATACAGGTTTTTTTTTTTTCGTTCACCTTTTACCTTTTTTAATATCTATAAATATATGTATTGTTGCTTTTTCAGTAATTATTCACGACACGGTATGGCAGTTAGGCATTTCGTATATAAAACACATCAGTGATAGTTACTAAACTATAAAATTTGTCATATATCAGTAACAAAAAATTTACACAAAAAAAATACAGTTATTGCACAAACAGTTTCCAATTACATAGGCAAAATTTTGCTTTCACTAATCAGTGGTACCACCATTATTATTATTATTATTATAATATTATTATTATTATTATCAAAATTATCATCGTCATCGTCATACTATCATCTTCATTATCACCACTATCACATCGTCGCCTACTGTAGACTAGCTAATCAGTAAAAAATTTTAATTGGACGTAATAACGGGATCGTTAATCCATACTTCATCATTACTGATTTCCTAAAAATAAAATGAAAATAATCACAAGAAAAAAAAGAAGAAACACAAATTGAATATTTTCAAATAGTTGACATTTTTTTTTAAAATTTTTCTTTAATTAATTGACTGAATAATTTAAAATATATTCACAAACTGCAAATATTAAACTGAACAAAATTTATATTGATTTGTTGCAATTTTTATCATCTGCAACAACAGAAGAAAAAAATGGCTATTGGAATGAATAATAAATGCAAATTTTGTGCATTTTGTTCCAATTTCTTTTTTTTTTTTGCACTTATAAAGCTTTTCTTCAACTGCAGCATATACGTCATTCACCAAATGTTGTGAAGAAATTGTAACGAAGAGTGTAACTAGTTAAACTGCAATTTTTTGTTATTAAATATTATATTTCATTTCAAGTTTTATGCTATAAAGTAAAAAAAAAAACAGCTTTACAAAAAGCGTCTGCATTACCCAACTTGACTGCTTTTATAAATTTACAGTCGTCAAGAATTCATGTAGCTTTCAATTATTATAAAAAGATACTATTTTGACTGTTAAAGACCCTAAAAAAAATCAGTGCAATTTTTTAAAGTTACTGTGCTTTTCACGGATTTTCCTCAATAGTTTTTAAAACCTCTTACCTATTACCCACCAATAACTAAAAATGCTTCTACATTTTAAGCAATATCACTGCTAGGTAAGAATAAGCAAAAAAAGCATAATTAACAGACCATTTTAGTTGAAGCTGATAAGAAAGTTGACGAAAATACAAAACGCAGTGAAGTTAAGCAAAAGTTAAGCAAAATGACAATTTCTTGTAAACCTTTTTCTTCCAGACCACAATATAAGCAGTGGCGAGATGTAAAGCAATGGTTGAAAATGAACTTAAAGTGAGCTAAAAATAGCGCCTTTTTAGCATAAATTCTAAAAACCAATTATGGAAAAAGATGGAAAGCCAGAAGGATAAATAGCATTCACGATTTTTTACTGTGAGCGACACTGAGTGAAAATCAAGAAAAGCAGCATTTTTTCTTTGGTATTTTGGGAGTCGATATGCAGCTTAATGCCTTTTACACCTATTACAGTTGGTAACCGCAACCACACACTCTGTTTATTTACCCTTATTTCATTTCCAATTTTCTTTGCAAACTTTCCATCCAACTCTTTTTTATACAAGAAATTTTCCTAATTTGCTAAAACCAACCCTAAACAAAAAAAAAAAAAGAACAAACGAACAAAAAAACGCATAGCAAAAACTTCAAACAACAGACGTTATTTTTAATCGACCACTTCAGAATCGATTCAGAATCCATGTAGTTCCCTGCACAGGTTACAACAATATCTGATTCTCCAATGCTGCAATAGTCATATATTCGTGATCCAGTAACAGCTGAACTATCAATAATCTCTTATTGCCTTCTCTTCTAATTGAAATTATTGTTTACCTCGTTGACGATACACATTTGACTGCTTTATCGGCCACTTTCATCTTCATTTCCAGTGTAATTGATATATCTACAGCTCTAAAAAGACAAAACCAACAAATTTTTTGAATTTACACTTTATTAAAAGTCTTGTTAACAAATTAAACACTTTTATGAGAAGAAGGAAAAAAGTTGGAAAGCAGATACAGAATGAAAAAAATTGCCAAAAGAGACCTTACACCTAAAGCATTTAGTTCAGATAAATATTTTCAATTTTTACCTCATACTATAGTCAGACTGTATTTGAGAAACTGCAGTGGAGTTGCATCGTCCGTCTGTAAAAGCGGATCTGTTCGTTTGCGATTGAATTTACCGGTCCAGCAACAAGCAAAAAAAGAAAAAATGAAAAATATTCAAACCTTTTCGACAGTTTGGTTTACTAAATGTATTTTCAAAATCAAGATCTTTTCTCTTCAGTTTTGGTTCATCAAAGCTAAATAGTTGCTCGTCGCCTGGATAGCGCCCACTAAGCGGAGATAACTCCGTTGCTGAAGGTCCTAAACTGATGTTCCAGTAATTATTCAAAACAATTTTGCAATACAGTTTAAGTAGCAGACTGAGTGGTCTACGAACTATACAGTAAAAAATCCAGATAAAATGAGGTGTTTTTGAAGTTTAAAATCAATAAACCAAATGAGTAAAAAACAGCCTAAATAAGAAAAAAATAAATAAATTGCAAATATATAAAGAAACCGTCAACGACGTCATCAATCGAAAAAACTGATACAGCAGAATCGGTGCTCTCTTGTTGAGGGAATTCTTCAAAGTCTAGAAGTGCAGAAGAAAACATCCTAAATAAAATAAACGAATTCCTTTTGATCTAGAGCAACAGAGTAGAAACTTTGATGTAAAATACAAGGCAGAAAAAAGAAAAACAGCCTCACAATTACTATCATCAACTTATTTTTATTTTTATTGTTTTTAAGGAGACTCACTAAATCAATTTTTCAAAGGCATAATTGGCAGTTTAATGATAAAACAATGAAAAACAATAAATCAAAAACACGATTTACCCGTTCAAATTGGTTAAGAGATTTTGATCCATAGAGGATTGTCGATGGCTTGGTTTCAATTTGCAATTAAAAAAACTGGTAGACGAACGTGGCGTATCCAAAAGTGAGTCCATAGAGTTTCTTCTTGGAACTGCAAACGCAATTTAGTTTGATCAATGATAACAATGTTAAAATGCAGTATTTATCACATCATATTTGGAGTACTACCAAAAAATTGTTTGCTGTTCAGCTGACGAGAAACAGAAATTTTTCGACCACCACGTTTACGGCAAGAAAATTCAGCTACGCTATTCTGCTCGTCACATTCGGCTTCGTTTGTTGTCGGAATATAGCAAGCAACTGGTGGTGCTAAGCTATTATCCAAGCCATACTGTAACCAGAACCGCTGTCCAGAGGGATATCTTTAAAAAAATAAACAGAAAGTAATTTTTTTTCTTACTTTGACTCTGACTGCTTAAATGCAGATAAGACTGAGGTTTGTCGGCTCAAATAGATACATCAAAGCGTTAACAACTAAAAGAAAGATATCCTTTCAGTTTTTTTAATTATCAGATATGATGTGCTCAAAAAAGAAAAGCATACTTTAGCTGAGTCTCTGAGGTATCCATTTCATTCGATTTTTCAGCTTTACAAACAGAATAGATAAAAATATGTCCATCATTTGTGCCAACCCAAAGTTGTTCATGTACAAACAACAAAGCTGTTATTTGAACTTCAACTTTATCATTTGTTTCTGACAAGCTTGGTGTTCTGTAAAGAAAAAGTAAGCATTAAAAATAATGTTTAATTTAAAAAAAAAAGAGAAAAAAACAATCACCGTACAAAAATTGATAAAACCAAAATCAATACCGATGTAAATGGTCGTAAGAGATGTCGTAAAGAAACAAGCAATCAGAATCTTTCCATAGCTGTATTAAAGTTGAGTTTACAGTAACAGTCCAAATTCCTAATGGTGACGGTGCCAAGCAACGAATTTTTTCAAACATTGCCATACTCATACCGCTGATCGACGATGCTATGTAAATACTTCTTAGCGTCGACAGTGTGCTACAAAACAGTTGACAACAGCTTGCATCATCTGTTACCAGTGTTAAAGATTATGCAAAACAGTGTATCTGTTTTTCTTTTCCTTTTTTACAGTTAATAAAAAAGTAAACAAACGCTTGCTCAAATTGATATATAAAATTCTATTTACTTTGCTGCTAGCGCAACAATTTTGCACGCCAAAGCAACCCATAAAACATTATCGACGATAACCATATCAGAAATTGGTGCTGCACCAACTGGTAAGTTGAATAATTCGAGTTCATTGGAATCCGATTCCAATACGTTCTGTACAGTTAAAAAAAATTTTTTTTAAGCATCAAATGTGGGAAAAAAAGCTGTTACAGATAAATTGTTATTGAAAAGTAGAACCTCAATAACAGTAAGTGACCCATTAGCTGAAGCAATAATAAGTCGTTCTTTATAATACTGTATTTTTAGTGCAATATTTTCGGTTTTTAGTTCCCAAGCAATTTCGCTGAAGTGATATCAAAAGTAAATTAAAAATATATAATCAAAAATTTAAAATTTATACAACAAAAAAAAGAGCATAAAATGAAAATTTTCAGTTTAAAATACAGTATGCATACGTATAGAAACGCGAAAAACTTCACTTACAATTGCTTATCCCGTTTGGAACGTAGAGATACTATGGTGCCTGACAACAGCGATAAAAATATAGCATTCTCATTTGCTGCCGTCAACGATAATATACGACAGTCAAACTAAAGTAACTGATTAAGCAGCCTGAAACTGGTAAACTAAAATTTAAAGTGGAAAAAATAATTGTAAATCTTACGGAAACATCAAGCTTTTGTAGTTCTGTGGTTTTTGCGGTAATTGTAATCTGACCAACATAGCCGACTCTTTGGTGACCATAGGCCAAAAATCCTTTGTTCGGTTGTTCAACACAGAATACCACATTATCGGCAACCAATTTTTCGCTTCCATGTGAAATGGAGCTCTAAAAGTCGTCTGCCTGTACAACTATGACAGATAAAACAAAAACAAAATTTTTATTGAGGTTTTTTCTTGTAGAATAAACGGAAAAAGCAAAGAGGAGAAAACCATAGAACACATTCATAACAGCAACAAAGAAAATTGCTCTTTTTTTTTCTTTTTTTTTGCATTGCCAACTACAGCAGAAAATGCAGTGACAGTTTATAGGAAATAGGAATAGTTGTTTAATTCTCTCAACATTATCGTTTCAACTATAAAAACATATAGATAGTGAGACTTAGTCGAGACTTAGCCGCATCTAAAATACAGCTTGGTGAAGGCAGAGTGACAGGGCACTATCAGCAAAATGTTTTTTATTTAGAAAAGTGGCTGTTCAGAAACAGAGTGTTCAAATGAGACGCCTGTTGAAATATGGTGTAATCAGAAACTGTAAATTCAAATGATTAGGTGCGCTAAAAACTGTTTTCAGAAATGCATTGTTCATTATGCGGCAGTAAACAATATTATCATATTTACTGTAATGTTTTTCATTATTGTTGTTAAGATTAATCGACGGTTTTACTGATGAATTGTCTGACAATATAAACGGCTTGTCGTTGAGATGAATTGTCCGGTTACCCGTTGTGAATGTTAACTCAATGAATCTTTACGAGGACTAACAGCTAAAAATTCTTGGCAGATCCTTTTCCGTTTGTCCAACTTGGCACGCAGTAGCGTCATATATTCTTTTTGCTTTCGCTTTAGATAATCGCGCGATGGGAATGTCATCGTCGGATCAAATGCCTTCTGAATCAGATTGTTAACTGTAAAAATGCTCTACTTTTGGCTACGTTTTAAATGAACCATATAAACAACGAAAGAGGATTACGAAACAGAGGTAAGTTACAAACTATATGAGTTTCGAGAATCATTGACGGCAGTATTTTGTCACAACTATGTTATTCAGTTTTAATCAGGAATTTTTTTATTGGGCTGAATTTGGAACAAAAAAAAAGCATTAGTTTTATGCAAAATAAGTGCTGTGCCTATTAAAAAACTAATTCTTTTTGAAATTCTGTTAACTGTTATTCAACCACGGTAAAAAAAAACTCACAGCATAAGAGATTTAAATTGTCGGGCTTTATTGTGAACAAATTTTCAAAAATTTACCGCCTACTTACTCTAAACAACTCCTGATAGTCAAATGTCAACCGAACAGACGCCTTGAGAACCTTCATGACGGCAATGGTATCGGTCCGCTGAAGTAGTTCCTCTTCATACATTGAAAACAGGGCAACGGCAAATCGAAACAGCACTTTAGGACCTTCTAGCATGAAACAATCCCAAATTCTGATCATTGTCTGAAAAATTAGCAAACATCTATTGTTCTGTTGTGCTAAATTTATGTTCAGAATTTTTGCTAAAAAAAGAAATAAAAATTTTTTTTGTTTTAAAAAATAGTTACTATTTTTAACAACCGGAAGTAGTCTTCAAAAAAAAAATCTATGTTTTTCCTTTTAATGTTAGCAATTAAAATAAGTGCTAAAATTTTGAAAAACAAAAATTCAAGAAGATTTTGATTGTTAAATGTCACAACAATTTTTTTTCTTGTTTATTAGCTGTACTCACTGGTCGTCTTAGTATAAGACGAGTAATTCAAAATGCAGAAGAAAAATAATTAGCGGAGCTACAAATAGAAACTTCAAGTAATCTCTCTCTCTCCTTTTTAATTCTTTATGAAATTTTCTTGTTTTCAAAATTTTTTCCGATATAGACACTGGGAACGAATCGTTTGATTTTAACGCGAATTTATTGTTTGTCGGGGGTACTGTAATGAACAGTTCCGTGCGCAACAGGTTTAGCGCTGCAACGAATTCTACATTCTTTACAGCGCAAAACCCAAATTCCAACACGACTTCTCATATCTTGACAATTACTGTTTTTTTTTTTTGCTACTTTATTTCAGAAGTCTTTTTTTTTGTTGAGAACAAAAGTTGTACGCTTCAGTGCAATGTGAGAAATTGATTTGCAGGCCAGTAACAAAAGGCAGGTGTGTAAATAAGAGATAGGTAGACTGTTAGTTTTAAATACTACTTTTTTTGATTGCTGTCATTCGCCAGGTACCAAGGAACCACGATAAAATCATAAACATTCAAAACAGAAATTTTAATGGTGACCAAAATTTCTCATATCCAATTAAAATAAAATTGATATATTGATTAAAAAATTCTTCAAGAAAAAAATGAACAAATTAAAATGACAACTTGCGACATGCTCTCAAATTTTTGTTAAAAATTGTAAGAGTGACACCAAAAAATAAACATTGGTAAGTTGTTTTCGGTCAAGTTCAGGTACACATTTAGAGCTCTTGGAGCTCTGAAACTGTATAGAAATCTCGACCAGTGAAACAAATAGACAGCTGGATTAAGCGCCGTCAGAAAAGACTAACTAGACCATGAATTGCTGAAGACGTAGACAGTAGTGTTGATGAGGCAGTAAGAATTGCAGCATTTTGGTAGAACAGATCTCATCATCTGTGAATCTTGTGTCATTTGTTCGCAAATGTGCCATGCTGCTAATTGCTTGAACAATATACAATTAGCAACACAGTGCATTTACGGACTCATGAACTCATAGCGTCAATTATTCGTTCATAGAAATCGATCTTATAAGTTGTTGCTGTTTTCCCGCTGAATTGCTGTTGAACAGTGGATAACAGATCTTCGGATGATGTTCAGCAGTCATCAAACTTTGATATTTTAAAACCACACACTTAATGATCTCAGCAAAGACCAATAAAAGAATCAAATTAGAGAATAAACAGAGTTTTTATTGCAATCTTTTATCAACTTTTCAAATTGATACATTTGGTAATGAGTAAATGAACAATAAGCCAAATATTATATCTAACTCTGTCACTAATTTTATCAAATTGAAAAGCACCAGTACAGACAGCAATAGTGGCAACAACAAAAAAAGTAAAAAACTTTTTCCGACGCTGATATTGAACCACAAAAAAAATGTTTCTTATTTGTTTCTTAACAAGTCAATTAAAAGTGAAGGTGGGAACAAAACTTCTACATTTCTGGAATCTAAGTGTTCAGTTTTCGACATATAATATTACTACACTATATAATCAGTGAAGAGTAAAAGATATAAAAAATTATCTTAGACAACTAGAAGGGTAATTTTTTCTTCATTTTTTTTATTTCTTAATTTTAATTTTAATTTTTATTTCTATTTATATTCCTATTTTTATTTTTGTTTTCATTTTTATACATTTTTTGACAACACCAACAAATATTAGACGAATACTTATGAGCAAGACGGAGAATATGTAAGGCATTCAGTTATAAGAGAAAGGGGAAGGGGGGGGGACGGGGAAGGTGAGGGAGCTGCTGAAACAGTGCTGCTGACGGTAGTGGCGATGATCAGAGACGAACAGTTTTGGTGGTTGTTTTATGTTCCACGCAAAACACCATACCGATACAATGCAAATGGGTAACAATGATGATACCAGCATTGCGCTTGCACATTTTAAATACCAAAGCAACAAAACCTAGTGGATCAAATTTGCATATTTTTGTGTTAAAAAAGAAAAAAGAATTTTTTTTCATTTTTTTCCTCCTCTTCTTCAAAATAGCTTACCAATCATATTGTGATTGTGCCTTAATCCTACTACGTTGGATGTAAATGAGCTGTAGAAGAGATTAACTAACAACTACAGAACATATAGATAGGCAGTCACCATAATCACTGCAACCGCCGTCACCATCACCATCGCCATCGTCGTCGCTGTTACCATCAACAGCAACGACAGCAACAGTAACAGCAAAAACAACAGCTACAGCAAAGACAACAACAACAGCAGCAGCATGAACAGCAGTTGTGGTGAGATACTAAAACCGTTGCTAGATTTACTCTCACAGCTTCGGTCAAGTACTTGTAAAATCCACCACATACATCTATTTCCCAAATAAAAGAGATTAGCAAAAATAAGTTTTTGACCTTTGTTCCAATTTTTTTGTTGCCGCAAATAAGTATTACTTTTTATTTGATTTTTTGCTTATAAACAGCAAAGTTAACAACCTTATCGTAACTGATAACTATGTCTCGATTAAGACTTTTTTAGTTTCAACCTAATACAGAAAAAAAAAGTGGAAATTAGTAAATAAGCCTATGTCTGGCAACTGAGATTAACAATAACAAGTGAAATTTAAGAATATTTTGTTAATATGAAGAAGATGAAAAAATGAGTGATTTAGTTGTTTTTTAAATCTTCAGACATAAAAGTGTTAAAAAAGCTTTAGTTGCTGACGCTTTGCTGCCACTTGTTGTCGTTGTTTTTTCAGTTCTTTTACCAGTCAACAAACAGGTGGCAGATTAAGTCTACCAAAAGTCAGCTCCACGCCTTTCTGTCACCAAATTTTACTATCTCAAAAAATGTTTACTTTTTAAGCATATCACCGCTAAGCTTGAGCTTCAATAACAGTTTTGGCTAGACTTTTGTATGTTTCTCTCATCATAGGCTAGCAACAATAGCTGATGATAGACATTTGATGGAAACTTAGATTAACCAACAATATACTTTTTGTTGTCATTGCTGACGTGATTCTATTCCACCGTTACTGTTGTTGGTGGTGCTGACAATGATGGCATTAATAATGGTTACTTCAATTTTCTTTTTTTTTAGAGCATTGACTGCTGAATCAGCGAAACCTGATTTTTTTAAAATCTTTCAAAATTTAATCAGAATTTTTACAAAATTTTATGAAATTTTAATAGAAAATTTGAATCTAAAGCAAAGTTTTTTTTTTCAGTTTTGTTTGTCACTTTTTTTTGGCGATTTTCAGCAGATAAATGCAAATATTCTATAAAAATTGCTTTAACATATAACAAGAATTTAGCATACAAAGCATATAAATTTCTCATCTTTTTTCTTTTTTACAGTATACATAAGTTGAGAAAAAATTAAAAAATATAATTCAGATTTCTTTGTTTTATATTTGCATGATTAGCCATTAAAAATAGGTGATCTGGTTTAAACATTCTGTTTTGTACAATTGCAAGTTATGCACAACAAACTGGTCAACCAGTATTTTTGTCGAATTAATTAATTGATTACATGTCGAATTTGATTAAATCTTAATGACTAAGACTTTAGATAAACCTGGATAATTTTGACTGATATAGAGCAACAATATAACAAGTGGTTGACACTGTTAAGTGTCGGTGAACATTAGTTTTTAGTGGAAGACACTTCGCACTGACAACAGTTAATACAGTACAAATTCTGACAGAAATCAACAAATTCGGAGCAGAAGATAAAACTTTGAAATTAGACAATGAAAATATTATTGGCATTGATCTGCACAAAGACTGAGAAATTTGGTAGACAAAACTGTTCTGAAACTGAACATTCACCAATCAGAATCCAGAATTCTAGTATCTATTCGACTACAGAGCACTGCAAAAACTCTGTAGTTTGGGCAGTATTATTCTGTTTCTTCTAGTTAGCCTCGTTTTTTTCGAAATATTTTTTTAAAAAAATTCTTGTAATGTAAACAGTTTTTCATTGCTTTTTTTATTGCGAAAAAACGTTAGAAAAGGTGTTACTGTTTTTACTGCACGTAAAACTTTTTATTTATTTATTTTGCAGTGATTTTAAAAACAGCATGTGAAACACTATAAAAAAAACGATTTTTAATGGTAAGAGTTGACAAACTCAATGTTAACTGTAAAAAAAAGAGAAGGAAGGAAAGATAATATAGGCAGATTTTGCACACACAACAACAGTTGTATATAGATTTTTTTTTTTTTTTGGTTGAATTTTATCATCTTTTTTCTTTCGTCTACTGAAAGTGTCCATAAAGATATTTTGGTTCAACGAGACCACATAAAAACCAAAACTGTTCTGCTATCTTTCAGACAGTTTATGTCGTTTTGCACGGTTTCCTAACGCTGTCATAGACAGAATAAATTCGGTACTGTTTACAGATTATTAGTTTGGATTTCTACAGAAGAAAAAAAAAATTGGAAAAAATTTTGTTAAAATCAGGCAACAAAAATTGGTATTTATTAAAAGACGGTTGTTAAGCTGTACCAATCAGGAAAAAAAAAGTAGGCTCAAAACAATCACTTATGTAGAATTTTGAATAGACATCGTTAAGACAATGATATTTTGAAAGCGATTATTCATCAGCTTTTTTCACTTGTATTTTTCAGATAAACGTTTAGACGGCCCTCACAGTAGTTCAGAAAGAAATTATTGTGCAAATGCGGTCACCATTAGATTATATTCTCAAACAGTTTTTGTTTTGTTCTAACAAGAAAAACGAAATAAAACAAACAAAAAATTTTGAAAAAAAACATGATTATTTAAACAAGAAAACAAAAAATTTACCTGAAAAGGTACAGCATCAAAGTATAAGGCTATAAACCAGTTTAGTGTCATTGTTGTTAGATCGATGTCAAAAGCGTCTAAGTGGGCACTAAGACGTGGTAATCTTATACCCAATAATTTTTTTAACACTTCCTACAATTATATTTGCTTAATTCAGATGTTCTCCTATTTTTTGACTCTGCAACTATATAAATTATCAAATAAATATACCTACTTGATCAGCTTGTGCTCCAGTTAATGTCTGATCAAAATAACTTTTGTCAAAATAACGTTCGGTAAGGGCAACCAAAAACCAAAAAGTTTCTTCAGCACCTAACAGGAGCATTGCTGTTGCAGCAATAAAGTTCATTCCTTGGCAGTAACCAATTGTTGGATTATGTAAGCAATAGGCTCGTAATACTTGTTCTAACTGTAAAATCTAAAAAAGGACCAACTCTACCTTAATTTTGTTCTGTTTCAAAAAATAAGTACATTATTTGAACTGTAAAATTGAACGGTGGAATTAATTTAGTAAACATAAAAGAGGAAAAAAACAACAGCACACTATTATATTCTTCTTTGAAATGTTAAATATAACATAGTTTTTATCTAAATTAGACTTAACAAGTAGAAGAAATTGAACGTTTTTATTAATCACTTATTTAAAATTATTATTTTACCCCTTTGCAGTTTGGTGATGTAAAATGGACATTATTTGGCATAGTACGTAACAGATCCAACGTTATTTGCTTTTGATGTTTGGTATAATACTGAAACAGATTAATTTGGAACCTGTTAATCACAACTGATAGTTCTATGATCTATTTGGCATATTCTCAAGCTTTAAACAATTCTTTTTCACAAACTATTTGATTTTATTACCAAACAAAAAAAACCTTTTTTCTGCTCCGCTTACATCTAATCTTTACACCAATGTTTCATTTTTTTTCTTTTTTGATGTAAACTGTTATGACTTCAACGTAAAAAAGAGCAAAAAGAAAGTTTTTGCAACAAAAATGTATTAAATACCAAATTTTCAGCTTTCGTTCCTTTGTTGTTACACAAATTTTGATAGTAATATTTGCCATAACGATCTTTTAAATCATAAACTTGTTGGTTAATCAACAGTTTCCATACATCACGTCGTACTTCGTTTGGTATTCCAGCTCGAACTAAACGCTGTGTTTCTTTCTGCAAAAAACCCAAAAAATGATTACAACTGAGAAGCAGTTTTTAAAGGTATTTTATTTCTTCTTTCTTTACTGATTTAATTTTTGTTAATTAATATTACTTGAAAATTTTCTCTTCTTAAAATGTCAACGAATAACGAACGTACCAAAAAAAGAATTAATCGTTGACAAAATCTTTTTATATTACTGAATTTGTTTTACGTGTTGTCTTATAACCTAGCAAAACCAATGTTATCAATATCAAAGGTTTTGAAAAAAAAGGTTTGATTAAAAAATGTAGCTTTTTAACCGTTAACAAATTGCTAGATTTTAGCAGAATGGGAAATTAAGAGCTAAGAATATAAGTGCCAAAATTCAACTGTGCTGAGAAGTACAACGACTATACCAATAAAATTACAAATTCTCGTAGCGAATCAATGTAAAACCAACATTATTCTGTATACGATTTTTACATTTCTGCAGATAGTTGTTCCATGTTGCTAAATTTGTGCTATAATCCAAGGATTTTTGCTTATAATGTGCTTGCAACAGTGTACAGATGTAATGTAAAGCGATTCCTTCGTTGTCAAAATTATGCCGAAAACCATATGCATCCACGTAATTACCCAAAGTGACAATACTGAAAAGAAAAAGGTAGTTTTAGAAATAAAAATTTTTGGAAAAGAAGTCTTTTATGAAACTAAATGGTAAAAATAGGAAAAAAAGCAGTTTTAAAGTTTGAGAAACAATGAAAAGATCAAAGATCCTAAAGTTGTTATCAATTTTATCTTGAAATGTCGATGAGCTTAACATGATTTTGCCCAAATAGATACTTGTATTTGTCTCTTTGATTTTGTACATTTAACTTTTATTTATTTATGAGATCAAAAAGTTTCTGTTAAGAAAAAAAAACTAGAATACTAGTCCTCCTAAACCTTTCTAACGTTGGTAGAGTTGGATCAACAAGTCGGGCTTCATCCAACAGTTTCAATACACGAGTTTTGTGCTAAAAATCAATGTTGTATTATTGACGCAAGAAAAAATATCACCAACTAACTTCCGATATCAAATGAGAGTGTTTAATCCTTATGCAAGAAAAAAGAAAAGGAGAGTAGCAGAACTGTCTGTTTAACAATAAAAAATTTCTCTCTTTTATTACTATAAATTTAAAATCAGCTTTCTTTTGTCTTGCATTATTTGTAGCTTATTACTTAACAGATGTATACCCTTAAAAGGTTAGCCACTTGTTAAGTTATAATTTTTATTTTTGTCAATTATTCTCGTAAAAAATTTTGCAATTTCAAACTACAGTCCTTCTTCTTCTATCTCTTTTAACTGCTCAGTAAATTTGATTTACAGAAAAAAAAGTGATAGTTTTATAATAATGTCTGCCGACTGTCTGTTATTTGAACTGTAAAAATTGTGCACTTATGCAACTGCAGATTGTCTTCAATCGGTTTCAACATTTTTGTAGATTTTTTAACTAATACTATTCCAACAGCAAAGGACAAATATTTTTATCAAAGTAGAATTATTCAAATTTATACTTACCACATTGCCACCAGAAAGTTTTACTTGAACAGCATCAACACAAAACTGATCACTGAGCGGTATTTGGATACAACTTTGCAGCAAATATGTATATTCGCGTTTTAATTGTTCATGTTCTCTTTCCAAATTGCTAAATTTTCTGTAACACAACAATTATAACATCCAAAAAAAAGCTGCTGTACAATTTAGCAGACAAAAGTTTTTAATTGAAAGCAAAAAAAGTATTTCAGATACCACTAATAACGTCTATTTCAACAAGAAACTTATTTACAATCAAAAACTTATTACTGTTCAATCATCAATTCAAGTCTAACACTTACTTTTCTAGACTCATAATTACAGCTTCGTTAAATTCCTTTTTTGTTGGTATCTCAAGACTTTTTGTATTCAAAAGCATATGTTTAGTTTGGCATAACTGTTGTACACCGGTCTGCAACTCTACAGGTGTTGAATCTCTAAAATTTAATTTTTTGATACGCTAAAAAGTGCTTTTATCCTCGGTACTGTCAGGTTGTTTCAACAGTTTCTAACTTTTTTTCTTTAACTTGAATAATATTCTTTTTAAGTCCTTAAGTGAGAAAAAATTGGTTTTTTATAGTAGTTAATATATCTTATCAAACCAGGTAAAAAATTGTGTCAAGAGTATTAATTCACTTTCTAAAAAATCTGTAGTCTAGTCCAGTGTTATAGACTAGACTAGGTTTATTGGCTTAAAAACCAACCTATTAAGTGCTACCAAAATGTATATGAGAAGTTTGAATGTCGCTTAAAATGGCAACTTAAAAAGCTGCTTAATTAGATAAAATATTCATCAATCTAACATACTCAAGATCCTTTAATCGTGTCAGCTCCAGAATCAATGCTTCACGTTCTTTTTTTAATTCACGAATTTTCTCCTCCTGACAACTGCTTAGGCTTCGTAAATTTTTTAACTCTTCGAGTAACGGCCTACAAATAGCCAAAGTTTAAAAATAAGACTATTCTGCATCGTTACGGCAAAAGAAAAAATAATCAAATAAAAATTTTACTGATAGGAAAAAGAATTGGACTGTAAATCCAAATTATTTTCCATGCTTAAGCCTTTTGAAGCATCATCACTGGAAGTGGTTTCATCACTGAAAAAGTTCCATTTTTTAGTTTTCTTTTTTTTCTTCTTTTGATAAAAAAAAATTTTTAGATAAAAGCGTACGATTTGATCGTGCAGAAAAGTTCAAACATATTTTGCACAAAAATAATGCAGAAAAGAATTTTAAAAAGATAAGAAAGCTTCTTCTTTATTAACTCTGTTGATGCAGATTTGTCAGTTTCTGAAAGTTGACTTTCGTCATTCAGCTGACAGTTCAGTTCATTTTCCAACCATTCAGTTACGCGTTCGTTGGTTGGCAACGCTATACATCCATATTCCAGTTCCTAAAACTTTTTTAAAATTACCAGAAACTTTGGGATCTGCGGAATAAAATATTAGTTGTTACAATTATTCACAGCTGCCCGTTATCAGTGTATAAAACCGATGCTAATATAAATTAAATAATGAGTGTTTAGCTCTTTTTTTCGGCTACAACGAAGTGTTCTGCTAAAAACAAAACTTTATCCTAATTCTGAAAATTTTACTTACCGTCACATAGACTGTCGAACTTGGAAAGCAATCAATTTCACTTTGATCAACTGAATGTTGCCTTGTAACTGAAACTATGTTGTAGTCTAATCAATACACACCGTAACAGAACAATATAAAATACGTATTTTAGTTGTAGTAAAAAAAA